ATTTATATTATAAATTATATAATTTATAATATAAATTATATATTATATGATATGTAATTTATATTATATGGCTGATTGTTCTGATCCCCCTCGTCCCACACCAACACACTCCGAGTCAAAGATATTTTACGGAATTTATTAACAGACAGACAGGTCCTTGGCAGCAATCCAACACAGATAAGCCGTGGCAGCAATCCAGCCTGCCAGGCTCATAATACTGTTCTCCAACATTCGTTACTGCGTTGACTTCTGCAAAAGGGGCATGTGCACAATCATTCCTTTTATAGTCTGGAGAGGAGCCTAATGACCACCAGCTGAGTGCAATTACCTTCTGTAACTGCACAACTGTTCCTGACGCCTATTAGCTCTTCGGTGCCGGGCGTCCAGGAGCAACTCACTGCTGGTGTCAGGATCACACTCCCTTGTCTCCTCCCCACTTGTCCAAGGCTCGGGCGGCCTCCTGGTGGCCAACCAGCTTCTCTGCACCCTACTCGGAGTCGGAACCCTGTCCAGGGTCCTCCACATCCTCCAGAGCCAACTCATAGGGGCCCCTCGCTGCTGGAGTCTGGTGGCAGCTCCAACGGCTCCTGCTGGGCCACAACAGCTGATTATATCCTTTATGGCTGATTGCGGAACCCTGCAATCAGCCATAAAGGAAATCCAGTTGCCAATCAACTGAAATGCAGTCATATGACTGTGGGGTGGAGCCAGTCATTGGAACTCCAGAACTGTCTCGTAAGTAACTTTCGGAGGTCTGCAATAACTTTGAATGGTCGCCAAGAAAGCAGTCTTTAAGTGAGCATTGCCTATATAAATCTTGTCAAATAAGTCAGAGCAGCTATCAGCACCCACAAACCAGGTACAAATGTAGAAGTCCTAAGAATTTGCAAAAAGTCTGAAAGTCTCCTTTTTCAGACACTGAAAAAGGGTCTTTAAAGATATCTCTACATCTCTGCTCGTTGTTAATGGTCTATTCATGTGCCTCACAAGGAGCTACAACTGACAGAATACCAAAATGTAGTATTTGAAGAGAGTAAAACACCATCTGGGCTCATCCAGTGCCAAAGACTGCAAGCAGAATCCCTTTCCCACAGATCTGCTGGAACAATCCAATTAATGTATTTGGTTATTTAATATGTTATCTGAGAACTTGATACAATTTTCTCCGCACAACTCTAAATATAATTAGAACTAGGCAGAAAGCCCAGGCTTTTCTTTCCCCCAACTTTTCATATTTTTTTGAAAAAGAGACTAATTTAGCAATGTTTATGTAAAACTCGGCTAATTCTCATTCATTTCTTGCTGACATAATTAACGCTCATGATTTCTTTCCTCCCTCACAGTTTAGGATTTCTTCGTGGCCAAAGGAAAATCCAGGAACTTGGTTTAGTGAATTTAAGAGAGGCAAACTGGTAAATTACCCCTTCTTTTTTTCTCTCCTTTTTCCTTTCTTTCATTTAGTAGTTACGACTTATTTATAGCTTTTGTCAAGAACTTAGAGCAGATAACAGATGATCAGGCTAGAAATATTTGTCAGACAAATATTTTCTAGTCACATTTTCTAGTCCAGTTTTAATTCTAGTCAAATCAAGATAACAAAGAAGTTATCCACTGGGAGCATGTAGAAAGTAAAGTAAAGCAAGTAATGAGTAGGAGCCAGTGATGTGCAGTCAGGGGAGGCAGAGTCTCAACACTGTCATCATGAAAAGAAAATAAAAAAATTAAAAGGAAAAAGGCTGAGCCTGGGTTAGCTGCTGCCAGAGTCAGCCTGGGTTAGCTGCTGCCAGAGTCAGCCTGGGTTA